TAACAGAGCCATCTTTAACTACAAATCATAAGCAGTTATTAAAATTTTAGAGCAAACGTCACAGCCATTGAAAGAGAGCAGAGATTTTTATATATTCGATACTGTTAGAGTTTATTCAAAGTTGCAAAGCTTTGAAAGACCAATAAGCCAGCCACTTGAGATTTGTAAAGAAGAACACAAGGCAAACCTTTAGTAGCATGTCGGTGTCTCCACGAGGCAAAAGAGGGCCACCAGGTTGTAAAGACGATCCAACATTAGGTAACACATCCCCAACAGAACTCCCAAGGCCATCCTTTCCGAGGCTCATGCTCCGGTTGTTCAGAAGCATTTTCAGTCTTCTGTTCTCTTCATTGACTGATTGTGAATTCAGATTCTGTTGAGCTAGCATGAGCTGTTGCTGATGTTGCGGAGTCAACATGTTGAGTTGGTGAAAAGACTGAGGAGACTGCATAAATGGTTTTTGCTGCTGAAGAAGGCCAGAACGAAGCTGATCAAATCCCTAAATCAGGATAGAAAGCAGCAGTCAAAAAAGGAAATTCCGTTGAGATATAAGAGTGAGACGAATCAAAGAAAAAAAATGCATGAACAAAGCTTACGGTGAGTGGCCATCCTTTAAGTGTGAGATTGTTGCTGCCTTGATTTGAACCTGAAACAGGAAACAAGCACTAATCATAACCACGTTTTTGGGAAGAATTCTTGCAAGCTGAAGTACTTTTACTACATTTGACATGTTTAACCAACTGAAATGATTCATCAAAAAAGAAATAGCAAACCTACCAGGAATTCCAATCAACGACCCTTCTGGAACAGCAGTTCTGGGAGTGAGCACGGGATTGATCTCACCTTTTATATCCTAAAGCCAAATAATCCCAGCAAGAATTAACTAACAGTAAAGCTCTACAAGAGGCTAAAAACAACATGGATTCAATATTACATACCACTGCAGACCCAGAAAGTTGCTGATTTCGAGCTTGAACTTGTGGAGACATACCACCACTTGAACCATGTAATACTTGCCTGAGATCCACCAGGAAATGACATTAGAACAAGAGAGATATATTGAACGATTTTTCATTGCAACATATTCATTTTATACTAGGCGAGGAAGCAGAGGATATAAGTGGAAACAATGAAGGTAAAAGCATGAGAACAGCACCCTGTAGGCTGTCCGGAAGCTGCAGCAGATTTCAACATTGATGCGTGGTTTGGATCCATTAGTTGCCCAACATTATCCCCAAACCGCTGTAGCGAACGAAAAATTCGTATTATAACATTTGATGAAACTAAGGTGTCACAAAAAGAAGAGACGGAAATTTAAACACATGCCAAAGCCTAAACTAACCTTCATAGCAGCATCGTCTAAAGAATCCCTCTGAGAAGGCATTTTGACCCTTTCCTCGTATGTCTTACTTGCTAAGGCACTCCCAGATCCAGGATTTTGCCTCATAACCGAGTCGCTGTTATTACCAACAAGTCCATTTGCTGATCCATTTGCAAGATGCGACCCATCTCTCCT